AGGCAAGGTTAATGTTAGTGTGATTCATAAGGTTCAATGTTTCTTGCTGACTAAGGTGAATTAAAGATAGACCTATTTTAGTACGAGGTGCTCCTATAGAACTTACGTGGTGTAGGGACAGCACCTGGTCTACTGCAATTCTTACAAATGTAGACATCTTTTCATGTATTTGTGGCTCAAAGGTGTGTTTCAAAAAAGATCAAATTACATAAAGAAACTATAAATAAAAAGGCCTGCAGGTAAACACCAATTATATTTAAATATATATATATATATATAACTAACTATTAATCCTAAATGGTGTAGCATAATAATACCACTCAAGGTCACCATCACAGAGAGAAGGGTTTCCAGCACACCTGCTTAGCCGCACAGGTGTCTCCAATTATTGTGGCTGATTAGGCCTGTGCTCAGGTTGAAGGTTTAAGCTAATGGCAAAGCTTCGTGAACCAAAATAACTGGGTGTGTCCTGCGATGTTAAATTTCCACTGTGTTATAGCCAACATCAGGTAATGGAGGTGCTTTTAAAACAATCCTTTCCTGTTCACAGATTTGTGAAGTATAGATGTGGGAAAAGCATCGAAAGCTAGTTTGTGATGCACTACTCAAGGTTGAAACTGATTGTAAACGAAGTTTAATTTCTGTATTTCATCCTTTCATAGCTTTGAAATGTTTTCAAATGGGGGTCAATTTCACCTTGGATCTAACCAGAAAAAGCAATGTGAACTGAGTTTTTATTGTGCCGTTTATGATGCCGCTGTGCTCAAAAAGCCAGTGTTTCAGGCTGGCATAAGTAGCATATTTGTGTGAGGAAACTGAGCCGAAAACAGACTGAAATCGTTCCAACTGGTGGTGTGCAACTTAAGAGTCTGTAAATGTTTTAGTTTCACTGGCCCAAAGAAGTGCGAGCCAACTCGGGAGTGTAACAAAGATGTCAATCAAGCGCAGTCCTCAGAAGGTGTCTGATTGGGAAAGGGAAGCGAAAACGACGCTTAATCTAAAGTTCATCCTGCTAGAAGAATTATATGCAAGTCATTGAGGGTAGAGTGCTTTGTTGTTTTTGTCCCTTTTCATGGAAAGGCACAGCACCTTGCTGTAAGTCTGGGTGTGGTTTGATAGATGTTATCTAACATTTCCTTCCAGCAGCAGACAATCCTTTTGTTTGCTGTGTCAGAAACTGTAAGTCACCACTGGTGTGATTTTTTTTTTTTCTTTTTTTCCTAAGTTCTCCAAAGTTAAAAGTTGAAAATCGAGTCGGCTGTAACACCTTAAACTTAAACATCTCCTAAAGAGGTTTGATTTTTACTCGGATAAAACCTTTTTATTGGAGTAAGAAAGGGTATATGTGACATAAGGAAACTGAAAGAACCAGGGAAACTTTTTTTTTTTTCTCTAAACCTTTATTTGACCAGAAGCTTCACTTTCTGGTCAGTTTAACAGAACTTCAACTATGTTAAAACTGTATTTTACTAAAGAAAAATTAAAGTAGATTTCGACTACAGTAATTTCAACTGAGTTGGCACGATGCTGTCTTCATACTGCACATCTGTTTAAATGCTCTTTAAAAAGTTCACGTCACAGCTGAGGTAAATGGGAAAGGTAAGCAGTGAAATCGCATATCAGACATGGATGGGATGTCTACTTTTTCCCCCTCAGCTAATTTCTCCAAACACCAACAGCTGATAGTTTCACTCCAGTCAGCTGTTTTCAAAAACAAACTTTAACGTGTGTCTACAAGAAAGCAGCTGAGGTTAAAACGACAAGAAAATACCACACTAATGTCCAAATTAAACGCTCGCTGTTTGGATACATGCAACCACTGATTTAGAGTACCGAGCGCTGTTTTAAAACTGGGTGTAATTATAGGACGGCTAGTCAATTCTGTTAAAGTTAACTGCGGCGCAGTGCCTGTGTGTCGAGGCTGGTATGAAAGTCGACAACGCTGTTAGTTATTCAAATCCTTTGGCTGAAAGTTGAAATGTGTAGCTTCCTTTCTTACACTTGCTAATGCGGCTAGCTGGCTTTGTTGTATTAGCTGGGTAACCTTCTGGTAAGTGATAGCGTTAAAAAGAAATATGGGGGATAATTTGCCAAGCAGACAGACGCTGCATCCCAGTCATAAACAGAGGCTAGCTTTCCGCTCGCAAGGTTAAAGGGAGGAGTCCCTGAAACCTGCTAACTATCGGTAACCTTTCTCCGCTACTTACCATATGTCTAACTAATAATCGCTGGCTAATTAGCTAACGGTAGCATTAGAGCGTTGAGCTAGCAGTGCGGCGCTAGCCCCCTTTATGCTAGCTAGCGCTAGCACTTTCCTTTCATCTCCTCCCCCAGTCCCGAAATTAGGTTATAATCTGTAATTTCTAAATGCACAATCACAAAAGCCGCAAGCTTTGCGAGGGCGCAGAACGTAACTCCTCAATAATGTCAAAACGGACATCGAAATCTCACCTTAATTAGCGATTAAATAGCCTTGTTGCTGCTGTCAATCCCGGAATAGGTTTATTCCCCCGTTTTAATCCATCAGAAACGCTCACAATTCCCATCCACAATGTAGCTGTGCCATCTGCTAAAACATCGTAATCCGGATCATCACAACGACGACTTCGAGCTCACGTCCCGTTGTCTGCTATTTGTGTATTTTTTTTCTTAGTTTTATGTCTGTTTTTTCCCCTTAACAGAGCAGGGTGTCCCTTTCCCCTTTCTTTGTTCTGTAATCCAGTAAAATTGAAACTCATTCGCCTCCTGCTAATCCCAGCCCAACTCAACAACAGCATCTATTGGCTGCAATTTACATACAGGATTAACGAAGCAACCTCTGGAAAAACCCTCAGAGAGCAAAATGTACACGGAAAGGAGAATGTCCTTAAAAAATAATAATAGTGAAACGCGCATATATTTTATTTAGACTGTGGCTATTTAAATCACCGTCTGCCACTTGACAGCAACTTCACACATTACTTTGTGCTTTAAGAAATCCTTCATAGACTGCGTGTAGGTGCTTTGATGCGATAGCTGCGCAGTATCCAAAGTATTTTTAGGATTAGGATCTGTCCAAAGTGGATCTACGGCAGCTACATGGATCTTGTGGCCATGGAAGTTATGCCATAGCTGCAGTGATTGCCCAAAATAGCTCATGTCTGTTTGATATAGGGTAAAGTTCAGATCCTAGAGAAGAGGTGCTTTTCTTTTTTACATTTCCATGCAGGTGTGGAAATATATGAATATTTAAAAATAAGAAAAAGTTTCTAGATTCTGACAAAATGTTTTAACCAGAATTAAAATGTAGTGCCCAAACCTCAATATGTAAAGTTTTTCTGCTTCTCTAGCTCCACTGTGATCTGCATATGTAATATATTGTAGAAGTTGAACTGAATTTATAAACTATAATCCCAGTCTTGGCCATCTGTTATGTAAATGGGTGTGAATGTTTAATTAGTCTTAAAAAAGTCAGTTTTACTATGACCTTTTAACAGCTGTCGTAAGGTCGTTGGCTTCACTTTAGCTTTAGAATTGATTTTTAAAATTTGAGCTCGTATTTTTGTTTTGCTCCACGGTCCGAGACATCAATATCGCTCTGATTTGCCAGTAAGCTACGACCCAGCTTGACCCCTCGGGTCAGCAGGATCAGGTTATTTCATGAGTCACAACAAATGGTAATGAAACCCGTTTTAGGTTTTATGCCTTGCAAAGTCTTGTTAGGTGCACTGGACCATTAGAAGTTTAAAAGTAGAAACATGCCTGTTTAGCCATTAGCTGTTAGTCTATAGTTGCTGGTTTTAAACGTAATTGTTCCCAATTTCTGCTTGTTTTCATTTTTGTTTTAGTTTCATTGGACTACTGATGATCTTACTTCATTTTATTTCTACGGTGTTTATTAATGTTAAGTTATATATATTTTTTACACTTATTTGTTTTATGGGTAATATTATTTACATCCAGCTTTATCTGATTTTAGTAAAAAAAAAAAAAAGGATTGTGCTAGAATGTCTGTTATAGCTTATGCTTTGAAACATGCTATATAATAAATAGCTGCACTATATTTAATGTAAAGAAAAAAGGAACCAAGTAAATCCAAGTGTAACTTTTTACTTGGTTCCTTTTTTTTATAAAAACACACAAATTGATTGGTTACTTTATTATATTAAATATAAATAAAACTGTTCATATGGCTTTATTAATATTTAACGTAATAAATGGTGAAACATATAGGTTTACTTGGGTTGTTTTTTTTTTTTGATGCACTGGTTACTTTATTACATTAAATGGACATCAGCATGCAATCGTTTAACTTGTCCAACCGTCTTAATACCAAGTTTAGTTATGCGTGCCCCGTAAACTAACATTAGCTTGATATCCCATCTGTGAGGAAAAGGGAACGTTTCTTTTAAAAGTACTTGGACCATTAAATTTTAATCATAAGTTATTTACATTAAATCCATGGCAATCTCACTAGTTTCAGTTACTTTCCCCTCTTAACTGCTGTGTTCAACTCTGTTTCACCAAGAGCAAAAATGACATCTGTGCCTCATCTATGCTGTGCTTTTACAAATAAGTCACTTCTTACTTATTCAAAATGTCACCTGCATAACCAATCAGCCCTCTAGCAGAAACTGGGACATGTGGATAAGCCCTGACATTTGCCAAGGCCAACAAATAAAACTGATATATCTGGAGGCTAGAAATCTAGAGATTGTAAATTAGTGTGCAGCGTCTGGATGTCTCATCTCCACCGTGTGGCAACTTTTCCCTCATGAAGGATTTATTGCCATCTTTTCTCGCTGATATCACTGCGTTTTATTTAATGACAAATATTTAGCCATGCACATTATGGTTGTTGGCTGAATCTCCTAAACCGCCGAGCCCCTAAATCCGACACCACCGCTTTAAACCAGCTCTGCAGAAATATTCCGATCTGCTGCGCTTGGTCTCAAAAACAAACATGCTGAAAGTCGTATAAGCATGAAAGGGTGTGAAATAAAACACCAGCAGCCCTTGCCTGCATTGTTAATATTTAATGACTCAATCTCCAAAACCATCGCAGCAATACTCCAAAGGGTATGAACCCTCCAGCTGTAAAGGCCATGTACAATATCCAGTGGAAAATTCAGGTTTTATTTGAGCTGACCAGTACCTGCCCTGCATGTGTTCTCAGGGGACACTACTCAAGCCTTTCTGCACACCCCCACCCCACCTCTGTGTAGTGTCTCCTGTGAAGCAATAGCAACCTGTGACCAACTACAAACAGGATCCCCCCCTTAGTTCAGTTTGACAAATGGATAAAAACAATATTTGGAAGACTTAAGAGTATAAATGTTAGAGGCAAATGAAATCCGGATGATTTCGATCCAGGGAAGGATGAACGTAACTTCCCACATTCCCACACTGCTGTTTGGGTTTTAGCTCCTGGGAAAGCCCTTCAGAAGACTTCAGAAAGGGTCAGTAAAGAAATCCAGGGCCATTACAATAGGCTCACACTGTATTTTGTACCATATATAGTAAATTAACACAAAGCCACCGATCAGAGAAAGAGATGTATTGATGCGCGGTCAGACAGTTTTAGACAATGAAAAAGTCTGAAATGGTTCACTGTATTTGTACTACAAATGTCCTGCAACGTCTCCCAGGTTCAGTCTGCACAATGAGTCCACTGATGTGTAAATGGCTGAAAAGCTTAACAAACACCTTATAGGGAGGATTGGTAGTAACATCATCACCATCAGTCCTGTAACAGATGACGCTCTTCATGTGTGTTGGCGAGGGAGGGCGGGGTCTTCCAAGACGGGAAGAGGTTGATTTTGTATTTTATCCTTGGATCAGAAATGACCGTTAAAAGAGCTCCAGTCAACATTTAAACGACCACACTGAACCTAACTTTGTGCTCATCGTGCTTCTACCAGTAGACGTACATTAAGGCGCTTTGGGACCAAATGGTTCTGAGGAGCTGCCTGAGAACTTCATAACTTCAAGGGCGTTTTTCCTGTTTGCTGCAAACAAATGTTGACCAGGCGGTGGCTGTAGAAGAATAGAAATGATCCCACTGTTCAGTAAAGCACGTCCTTCACTGTCCTTATATTCTGTTTACATTGGGCTTATTACACTTTTCCTTATGTATATACTGTTATCATGGTGACTGCTCACATTAAACATGGCCAAGCTTTCAAACGCTCAGGTCAACATCCAGCACTGTGCTGGATCAGTACATACTCGGTCTGCAGACAGGACAGCATTGCTTTGTACTATTCTTCCACCTTCTCTGTCATCTTCTCCTATATTGCAACAAACTGTTGCTTTTGTATTTGTTCAGTGCTCATGTTCCTTTTAAAAACACAAAGTTGAAAAGTGACTGTAAAAACTGGTTATTTTCACAAAGTTGGTAGCAGAGATGCTATTACTATAGTGTAATGTTGTAGTTACTATGGCGAGTGCTCTGAGATGACTTGTTTTGATCTGGTGCAGTGTAACTAAAATTGAGTTCAAATAATTCTGGATTAAGGGTAATGTTTGCTACCAATCCTCATCAGATATCAAGCAGGTTGAGACACGAGTCAAACTTCCTTTAAAATAAAAACAAAATCAGGCCATCAGCTCACGTACAGCAGACAGGATTATTACAAAGCCAAGGAGCAAAATAAAAGTAATAAATAAAACAAAGCGACTGAGACCCAGTTTTTCTTCTCGTCGTCCATCAGTCTTTTTGCTTTCTTCGTCAAAATTCAGCGCAGTCAATCAGACTTCAGCGAATGACAAAACTTCAAATTTTCTAACTAATGTAAAGCATCAAAAGTTGCCACACTGCCAGTTCTCAGCAGTTGTTGAGCTGATAATCTCTTCACGTCCATATCTCTTTTTTTCTTATTTTTTCCTGTTTAAAGTACTTTTAAGTGGTCTTCATGATTGGCTAATAGGTGCTTTCTGTAACAACACATATATTCACTTGAGACAGAGATTCGCTGTTTTGGTATTAACTGTAAACTGAAATGTTTCAGGCGTCCACCGCAGCATCGGGAGACACGTCGGACCAAACTTTGACGTTTCAGGTGTACTTCAGCACGTCCCAGTTCACTCGGGGTCACGTCAGCGTCCCACTCTCATCGCTTCTGCTCATATCAGTGTTGTTCCTAGGAAAGGAAACGTAAAGCGTGTCTTCCTTAAAATGTATTATTTTTATTATTAAATCAATGACTGAAAAAAGCAAAAGGAAAGAATACCAACATCTTGAGCGCTGTGTGACTCCTGGTGGTGAATTCCATTAGCCGAATTAGCACCGTGGACCTGGAAAACAGTCAGAAATGATCATTTTAGTCCTGTTCTTGGCCTGATTGGACATTAGAAGACCTGTTCAGGTGACCTGGGTTTTAACATCTTAAAACAGTCTTAATAGCTACCATTTGTAGGAGACTGATGGGATTTGGTACCAGAAACGTTCTGGCTGCGTGCATGCAGTCTAGGTGGGGATTGAAAGCGTGATTGCATTTGCTGCCTGCAGAGGCCTTTCTGTGGAGTGTTTGCACGTACTCCCTATGTCTGCCTGGGTTTATTCCCCAAACACAAACTAGCTGTAGTATGGATATGTGGTTGCATGTTTCTCCATCTTGTTTTTTAAAAAAAATTTTACCGGGCTTTTTTCTGGATTCTTCCGCATGGCCTGGACCAGCTGGTCGACTTGTTGGTTGTGCTCTAAGGCGTTCCTCAGGGCTTCCTCAGTGCTGAGCAGCCGTTGGCGCAGACGGGTCACCTCCGAGTCCAGAGCCGAGGGGTCTAGCATCGAGTACCGCCGGTGGTCAGGGGAGGATCGTTCCCGACCCTGAAAGAACCACACAAGCTAACTGGTAAGTAAGTTAAATCATCCAAACTGTATTAGGTTTATGGGTTTTGTATATATTTCTTTTGTTTTTAACGCACTTCAAGTACTTTGTAGTGAAACAAGTGCAAAGAGCAGGCTTCTATTACCCATTTTTACAGGATTTACATCATGTAGTTTACATGAAACTTTATACATGTGTTTAAATCGTTATAATCTGTTACTCTAATGTAGATAAAGTCATAATAAAATGAATCGATAATACTCAAACCAATCTATTCTTTAAATAGCTCTATTATTATCACTTTAACCTTCAGAGCAATCTATTGACTTTGAAGGAGAGGTCAGAGGTCAAATGTGACATATTTTAGACAGTACTCTGTGGACACGACATAAGTCAGATCCAGATCAAGCTGAAGTATGGATTAGGTCCTAAATCAATCCATTAGTGGGTGAGCAAATTATTTTCCAGGAAATTATTATAAAAATTGAGTTGGGCAAATTCAGAAATGAGGTTAAAATTGACTTTTTGTGGAGAAGGTACACATGTAAGCATGAGTGTTACCTTATTTAAGATTCCCAAATGCTTTAATGTATTTGATAAACAAAAGTGTACATTATGCCCGTCTTATAAAAAATGTTAAAAATTAAAAAGTTATGTTATGTATTTATAATTATAACTTTCCTTTAGAAGGAAAAGCCTCTGTAGCAGGTGCCATAAATGCTTAATACATATTTGTAACTGAATTTAACTGCAGGAAAAAACCCAAAGTGCACAAAGTTTAAAAACTGTTTTGCTTTTACAAAATAAAATAACAGCATGTTTGCTAGTTAGAATCGCTCACCTGAAAAAACAGCTCTAATACTTTCTGTTGCCCTTGAGTAGGCTGATCAATTTGTGAAAACAGTCCATTGTTATAAGTTCAGTTTTGAACATGAAATCTCAGGCAGGCAAGTGACTGTATTTCAGTGCAAATTACCAAACTATTTCTTTACCTGACAGAAAGTCTGGTGTCTTTATTTTAAATGAAAGATTAAACCTTCAGTGTTAAATGATCTTTCCAGGGAAAGTTGAGCATGCGCAACATCCAAATTTATAAAACAGACTGAAATCGAGGCAATTTCAGTATGAAAGCTGGTTACTTCCAGAAATAATGCTGTAAAGTCATTCATCTGAGATAATGAAATGGGAATAAAGTAAACATACTAACAAAGCAAACTTCTCCTCATCATCATCGTGAACCCAAAACCGTCTTTACAGCAGACCAACATGGACTGAAAAGCACCTGAGAATCTAGGGTATGTTCACACTAGGGCTGTGACCAAAATCTCATATCCCTTCCCAGATGCCTTAATGCCCACCTACACCCTGGGCCATCTGACCTCAGGAAATCACATGATAGGATGGAGCCAGGTTTCCCAATGAGCTCACCTGAAACCCTGGCTGATTGTGACCTACACCCGTTTTCACACCTTGGCTCATGTGATTAGGTAGAGGATCATTAGGAGGTCTATTGTCCCTCGTGGGGGGGAAACTCCCACAGGGCTTAAATCTGGGACTGTCCACCATTTGACACTAGAACTGAAGAAGCTTCTCGGATGAGAGGTGAAATGTCTTCAAGCAACTTAAAGAAGTCCAGACGCTTTTCTTTCTAAGCTCCTTAGACTACAATGACCTGGATGACTGAGAACCTTCACCGACATCCCGATTTTTCTCGTCCATGTCAGAATTTTCATAACGAAACCATGTCCACGCTACAGAGGTAGCCCCTCGTTTAGGACTAAGGATTTGTTTTGACTGGTCTTTCTGTTTGGAACTACCTGGTTCTGCCTGATCTTTACTGGCCATGCTGGTATTCTCTGTGCCTGCATCCACGTGGTGACTGTAAACGCCATTTATAGTTACTACTTGTATTCATTTGAGGTAATTTGTTTGTTGCATATTCTGAAATTTGAGGTTTGAGAATAATGTAGTTTGTCGTCATTTCAGTTTATTTTGAAAAACCTCAACAGGATCTTCAGCTTTATTGTGAAAGGTTTATGTGGAAAATAATCAAGCGGAGCCACACAATGGTTTTACCATCGTTGTTGCTGTCATATCGAACAGCCCTAGCTCACACTGTATACACTGATAAAATTCTTTATCAGAAAACTAGAAACCAGCGAGTTTATTGTCAGTAAATTATCATCCAGGTTATCTTAAGTAAGGCTTTTCAACCAATGTTTATATTTCATATGCTAAAAGAAATGTGTGCTTCATAGTTGGGACCACTGAACCTGTGAAAACAAATGTATAATCACACAAATCACAGGCCAGGCTTATCAAGGTGCTGATTCTCCCGTATTTCTAAACTTAGTTTTTAACATTAATTTAAATAACAAAAAAGAAAAGCCTCAAAATGTGGGACCGACATGTGGTTTAGTGTTGTCCAATCATGCCACGGTGCTTTGTTCTCACCAGTAAAAGAAGTTTTTCTCGCAGCGTCTTGATGTCATCCTGAAGTTTCTGCTCCTTGACCTTCCACTCAGCCTTGTGGACCTCTCGGCTCAGGTCTTTGTCCATATCCCGGGAATGACGATGTGATTCCAGGAGTAACACCCTCAGCTCATTCAGACTCCTGTGATTTAAAAAAACCACACACACACACACACACACACACACACACACACACACACACACACACACAGAGGGGAAAAGTTGCTTTGTGTCTGTGTTTCTGGTTTCCTGACCTGCAGAAATGCAATAAGAACTGGACTCCTCAGAGGTGGTAAAAGCACCACAGTTTCGCTGTCAAGGATTATATGAATCACTCGCTTTGCTCAGACCCTGCTCAAAGATCATCATTATCCAAAAGCAATCACAATATGTGAATATGTCAGGCAAACAGGCCGGTGGGAATAGCGTAGGCGGCACTGCTCCTGCTACTTCAAGTATACATCATCTTAAGTACACTGGCTGTTTGCCGACATACTTGCATCAGTAAACCACATTTACACCGGGGAACAGTTTTCTGTACCTTTGCACTGCATGCTAGCCAAAGGTTTTAGCAACTTTAACATGTTTCCTGCACTTGTGGAAATATTTCATCTCAACAAAACGGTGTTATTTTCATCTTTCTAAGAAGCGCTCCGGGTGTTTTCTCTGTAAGAACATCTTTTCCGTCTGGTCTAATCGATACATTAACAGATTATGTGCTGTGGTGTAACGTGAGTCTGTTGCTAAGAGGTATGGCAGGTTTATGAGGTGAGAGATGCATCATTATATCAAAAGTCTGTTCAAAGCCTGTTTTAAAATGAGTGGAAGCAGGGCTGTGGAATTAATCTAATTTTATTTTCAATTACAATTTTGGCCTCCAGTGATCATTAAAACAATTACAAAACTATTACCGCGCCACATTTCGCTTCACCGAGGCGCTCCCGTTTTATCTTTCACTGCAACCCCCTTTTTCCCCAAATTCTACCAAGCTGTGACAGACTTAGTTCAGTAGATTTTTTTTTTAAATAAGTTAAATTCTAATCAACATACAAAGACATCTACTTATAAAGGAAAACTTTTTAAAGGGTTTATTAAAATTTTGATTTAATTAAGTCTATCAATGATCTGAATATTGACCAAAATAATTAGAATTTTTCCCATTAATTAAAAAGTCAATTTCATGAAAAGTTGCTTGAATTTTTCATGATTAAAGGAAAGTCCTCCATGATTACTGACAGTACACCTCAGTCACCACAACTTACAGCTCGTGTGTGTGTGTGTGTGTCTTTGACTGGGCTGCTCTGAGTACTTCAGAAGCTGCTGATCTACTACTCTACTTTTCCTCGACTACCAACTGTAGGGTTTACAAAGAATCCGTGAAGTGAGCAGCAGTTCTCTGGGTGAAAATGCTTTGTTGATATCAGAGCTCAAAGGAAAATGGCCTGACCACCTGAAGGTGATAGGTGGGCAACGGTAACTCAAATAACCACTTGTCACAATCAAGTCAAACAGAAGAGCATCTCTGAACACATCATGCTTTAAACCTTGAAGCAGATGAGCTACAGCAGCAGAGGACCACACTGGGTCCCACTCCAGCCTACTTTTGCACAGGCTCACTAAAATTAGAAAAACGCTGCTTGGTCTGTTCTGAGTTTCGATTTCTGCTGTGACATTCAGATACATATCCATCCTGCATGCTACCATCAGGTTGCTGATGTTGGTATGACAGAGTGGACTCTTTGGGTCCCTACTGTTGCTGATCATGTCATTCCCTTCATGACTGTACCGATTACCCCTGTAATGCAGCGGGCACCATGCCCCAAACCTCAAATCATCTCAAACTGCTTTCTTAAACTTGACACTGATTTCACTGGGATGTGGTGGGATTGTATCATGAATGTGCAGCCAATAAATCTGCAGCAGCTTTGTGATGCTATCATGAACCGAAAGTCTCTGAGCAATGTTTCCAGCACCTTGTTGAATCTGTGCCATGAATAATTAAAGGACGTCTGAAGGCAAAAGATCCAACCTGGTGCTAGAAAGGTGTTCCTAAAGAAGTGGCAGTGCTGAAATACCAGCTTTATCATTGAGGACCCTAATGTATACCCAACTCTAATTAATTAGTGCGGTGGTTCACTAACATCATAATCATGAATAATGTAGGGACTGCATAATGTCAGAATAATGGAAAACAACTTTTTCAACAGCGCTGCAGAAAAACACATTTTCTGAATGGCTTAATGAACAAAGGAGTGACCCTGCGCCTCTGCAACGATGCACTGACTGCCTTTTACACTTGGGTGGTTAAATAATGACCATATTAAGCAGAGTGGGGTTTTTTTTGGACAGTGTGCACTAAAGGACTTGGATGTTTTGTAACTCTACCAGACTCTTCAGTATAGAGAAGTGGCCATCTGGCAGGTCTTTGTTGGAGATGAAACCTCAGCCAGCTGCTCTCAGTGACTTCAGGCACCGCTTTAAAGGAGGTGCAGAGCGGCCGTATGTGCTGGCACAAAGTCAGATATTTTCATAAAGCTTCTGACAGAAGCACGAGCAGTCATCCATCACTTTAGAGCTGCGTCGGTGTTTCTGCTTTATCACTGGGTCGAATGATGGTGTGAAATGTAAAAAAGGTCTGCGATTCATTACAGACATTTTTTGTTACTCTCAGGTGAAAAATAAAAATCTTTGCTTCCAAAATAACACACACACACTATACTATAATGCATTTTAACATGGTTCCAATATGGATTATGAAGCAGGTTATAGCTATTGCTAGTTTCCAACCCGTGTCTCTTGTTGGGTTTCTACATTTGCAAACCACAAACAAAAACTACAACATTAAATTACACAAAATGCCACAGAAACTTCTTTGTCTTCTCCAGAAAATGGAGAAAATGCATCATAAATCAAAACCTCTTAGTATCAGAGTAACTGCAAGAACAACCGGATGAAAAGCAAAAAGGAAGGAGGAGCAGTGCTTCGAGGTCATGCAATAAGTGCTGGTGGTGTCTGCATGTATAATACAATGGTGTCATCCTTCGCTGCTGTTATTGAGAAAGTGCTGAGGCAGAATGTCAAATCAATACAGTCTCCGTGTCAAATTACCTCTCCTTCTTCAGCAGCTCCTGGCTGATGCTCACTAGCTGCCCAGAGGCATCATGGGATTTCTTGGTCATGGACTCTAGCTCTGCCTCCATGCGCGTCTTCTCCTTGGCCAGGGCTTCGGCTCTCTTCTCCCCGCTGCGAACTTTGCCCTCCAGCGCTAAAAACAAATCGATAGTTTGCAACACTAGTTATTAATAACTTTAACACAGCTGTGCTAATCAGAAGTGTGATCATAAAGAACTTACTATTTTCAATTAATGCTATAAATGCATTTTAAATCGGATCAGGCGATCACATTTGGGAAGGATTCTGACAAATTTCTATATGCTCACTTTTAATTCTATGCCTGCAACGAGCTTCAAAAAAGAGGCACGTTTACCTCTCTATTTCATCAGCTCTTCTTTTAACGCTGCTCTTTTATAACTCTGAAGCTTTTTTCCCACTTTTGTTCAGTGCAACTTGTTCAGCTCGACAGTATTTTTTTATTTTATTTCAATATATAGTAGGTTTTCAGTAGTTGCCATTATGGTGATCAGGTGAATGAGGGACAAACAGCTTATTTCTGTGAGACATTTAATGACACTGGGAGGGAGTCAGAAATCCTGATATCCAGGCTCGTGTCATAAAAAACTCTGTGAATCACCATAAACCAGCTTTCTCCATCAGGTAAGTAGTTCCCCGGTCTTTTTTGTGAAATTCTACTGAAATGCTGAACTCTTGCGTTTCTGTGTGGGGGTGGCTCACAACTTCTTGGGTGTAGCCTTGGCAGCAAATGAGCTGCCCTCCCTGCTTTGCTCACAGCTGTTTGATTAAAAACAAGATGAAAATGCGTTTCATAGCTGAATGTTGAAGTTGCAAAAGCTACAGTCGAAAAACATGCGTTAATCATCTCAATATAGCGGCGATGGACAAAGATGTTTCAGTTTAGAAAGTGACGAATGTTGTTCTAAAAATGTTTATATGCCCACGCAGTTCATTTCAAATAATGCTGCACTTGAGATGTCTGCCATTTCTATTCATCTCTGAAACACCCCACGTTTTTCTCCGATGATGCCAAGCGAATAAGATAACGACGCAGGCATTATTATTAGTTCAATTCAATCCAGTTTTATTCACAAAGAGCCAAATCAAGAGGCTCAAGGTGCTTTGTATTGTAAGGTAAAGACACCGCAATAATAGTGTTTTAGATATTTCAGATCTCTCGCTGCTGATGTCATTTCCCCTTACCATTTTCAAAAATCAATTTCTATTTCATTCATAAACAAGTAAAGAAGGTCGTCTTAATATTTGATCTAAACTTTGTGCAGTTTTTGTTTGAAAATTCTTACAGATCAGGGTCATCGGTGATGACCCCAGAGTTTTAAAAAAAGAATAAAAAGAGACGAATACAACTATCCTTCGAGTTTTATATTTTTCTTTTCTCGTTTTAAATTATTTACATTCCTTCTTCAAAGTGTGTCAATTTGATTATCTGAAGTACATAAAGCGTGCGTTTGGGTGCTTTTGATGTGATGAAACTTATCAAAAGATTTCTGGGTGACGATCAAAGAGTGTAACGGTGAAGAACACGTTCCCCCGCGCGATGAACTCGGCGTGACTGTTGGAAAATAAAGCCTCCAGTCGCCGCACAAACATGCATATATATTTATTTATTTATTTATTTATTGAGAGAGAGCTGACAAGTTCTCCGTTTAAAACCTAAACTTGAAGGAAATGCTGCAGGCAAATATCAAGCTTCGCCTCTCTTTATCCTGAAATGAAACACCTGTACGTGAAAGACACAATGCCTCCGCAGAAACTCAATATTTCAAGATATCTTGTCACGAAAGCGCTGAAAGAACAAAGACGTCGGCGAGCTCGGAAAAGGGCGCTGCGCGCTTGTTTACCTCCGATTTGTGATTTGAGGGCTTCAACCTGGGAAGTGAGAGTAGAGACTTCTTTTTCCCTTTTCAGCAGCTTCTCCATTGTTTCTGCGGAAAAACAACATAACAGCCATGAGACACCTCGCTCACAGAACGCGCCGATGATCCAAATCAGTGCAGTGATTTGTGACTGGAGTGCCACAAAGTTTTCCACAGTTTTGTGTTACTTCCTTATCTGTCACTTGGCAGGATACAGTGAAATCCTATGAAGTTATTGGACAGACGCCCTTGTGTACCAGAAGAGCTGCGATTTTCTCGAGCTTTTTAGCCATTAGACGCTTAAGTGAGATTTATGTAACAAGACAGAGGCTTGTGAGGTCTTTATTTATAGGCTGTGACTCAGGAAATCTATTTTATTTCACAAAGACATACGCATAATGAGTACTGGTCAGTATTTAGTACCTCGGAATACATTATAACCTCATATATATATATATATATAGGATATTTTAACTTGACATATTTTTGACCAGTTTAGGGAACTGATTTGCTTCCTATTTTGTTATTATAAATACAAGGCCCTTTTGTAACCACTAGCCTTTTAGCTTAGCTTAGCACAAACAGTGGAAATAACTAGTCTGGCTCGCTTCAGCAGAGCAACAAAATCCACATCTCAGCTTTGCTTGTATGTGGAAATGACTGTCTGGTGTTTGTGTCTTCATGTGTTCCCAAAATAACGGGGAAAAAGTGAATCTGAATGACAAAAACTACCAGCGCCTGCTGAGTAGTTGATGCTTAACTCCCAGAAATGTGTCGGACTAGTCAAAAAACAAAGGTGTTTTTATGTTGACAAAAATTACAGGATTAAAAGGGAATTAGGGGTGAAAAGCAGATGGAAGTAGGCCGAAGTGGTCTCTATACAATATTATTTTTACAACACATTCTCAGGAGCAAGGAGGGCGGCATTATTCCTAAAATGTTGAGCTCTTTCTTTAAAGTTGTTACGTCCCTTTTTTCCTGCCAAGCTTTTAAATTTCTTCTCATCTCTCGAGTGCATACATGGGTAATATGACGAGAACAATGGGAAGTAACACTTTGGGAATCACTGGGACGTAAGAACAAGGAGCAAAAAGCACAAACGTGATTAAACTAAGAAAACAGATCAGCTGAAGTGTGTGTGATTGGTGTGCTTTTTTTCATGAATCTGTAGTCGGGATTAAGATAAACACAAACATACCTTCTATGTTCTGTTTTAGCTTCATCTTCTCATCTGAAATTTCATTATCTTCTATCACCTGAAAGAGGAGAAAGTGTCAGGTGCTGAGTTTGTATCTAAACACTGCAGGTGCCTCTTTCTCCTCAGCCACTCACATTAGCATCATTAGATGTGAAGCGCTCGGCCTGGATGGCCTGGAGCTGGTTGGCCGTCACCCTCAGCTTCTCCTCGAGTTTCTGGATCTCTTCTTGGCTCGCCTCCTGAGCTTTCTGCAGAGCCTGGTAGTCCGTCATCTGCTTCTCTGACAGCTCCAGCCTCTCCCTCAGCTCCTCCGCTCTTTTGTTCTGCTCCATCTGAAGCGTCTCCATATCTGCCAGCCTCTGCTCCGCTTTCTGTAGCTTATCCGTAGCTGCCTCCAGCGCGTGCTTTCCACTTTTGGCTTCCAATTCAGCCCTCCATGTCTGGTTGCCTTGAGCCAGCTGGTCTTTGGCCTCCTGCAGACGAGCGCAGAGGTCCTCTCGTTCCTTTGTCAGGATGGCAGCTTCAATTTTATGTTTGGCCTTGAGGTTCTCCACCTCTAGCTGGTGCTCCATCTTCAGGCTTTCCAGGGTTGCTCTCAGCTCCTGGGTGTCCTGCTCTTGACCTTCTGTAGCAGTATGACTACTGCTCAGTGTTGCCTTTAGTTCCTCCAAGGATCGCTGGTGGTCACTGACTAAAGTGTCAAATTTAGCCTGCAAGAGAAAGGGAGAAAGATTGCTTTTAGGTCATACTTGCTGCATTTGTGAAACGAATCGATTCAAATCATCTAGTAACCATTCAGGGGATAATGCAACCCAAAGATTTAACATGCATGCTTTTAAAAATTTGAATAGTTAACCCTAATCTCATTGTGTGTGAATGTGTCTGGTTGTGCAGACGGCTTGGTGCAGGATCTGCAGTGCTGCAGATGCTCACTGGTCTGTTGTGGTGAAGAGAGAGCTGAACGTGAAGGCAAACCTGTGGATTTATGAGTCACTAAATTGCCAAATGCATTCACTCCTCCATCCAAGTCATTGAATTCAGGTGTTCTAATCACTCCCATGGCCACAGGTGTATAAAATCAAACACATAAGCGTTCACAAACATTCGTGAAAGACTGGGTCGCTCTCAGGAGCTCAGTGAGCGTGCCACTGTGACAGGATGGCACCTGTGCAAGTCCAGTCGTGAAATTTCATCCCTACTAAATATTCCACAGTCAACTGTTAGTGGTATTATAATGAAGTGGAAGCGTTTAGGAACGACAAAAACTCAGCCACAAAGTGGTAGGCTAAATAAAATCTCAGAGTGGGTCAATAGATTCTGAGGTGAAGAGCACGCAGAGGTCATCAATTTTCTGCAGAGTCAATCACTACAGACCTCCAAACCTTCAGATTAGCTCAACAACAGTGTGTAGGGAGCGTCATCAAATGGGTTTCCATGGCTGATGCAGCTGTGTAAAGCATGCTACCACTGGACTAGAGCAGCAGAGATGCAGTCTCTGGAGTGATGAATCACGCTTCTACCTAGCAATCCAATGGATGAGTGTAGGTAGGTTTGGTGGTTGCCAGGAGAACAATGCTTGTCTGACTGCAGTGTAAGTTTGGTGGAGGAGGGATTATGGTGTGTGGTTGGTTTTCAGCAGTTGGACTCGGCCCCTTAGGTCCAGTAAAAAGAACTCTCAATGCTTCAGGATACCAGGACATATTGGATGATTTCATGCTCCCAACTTTGTGGGAACAGTTTGGGGATGGCCCCTTCCTGTTCCAACGTGACCGTGCACTTTGTGCAAACAAGGTCCTTAAAGACATGGATGAGCAAGTTTAGTGTGGAAGAACTTGACTGGCCTGCACAGAGTCCCGACCTCAACCTGAAAGAAAACCTTTGGGACGAACTAGAGCAAAGACTGTGAGCCAGGTCTTCTTATTCAACATCAGTGTCTGAGCTCACGAATTTGCTTCTGGAAGAATGGTCGGATCTTCCCATAAACACACTAAACCCTGTGGAAAACCTTCCCAGAAGCTTTTATAACTGTAAAGTGTGGGCTGGATTAAGAATGGGATGTCATATGTTCTTGAAGGCAGACGAGCGAATACTTTTGGCAATATAGTCCATGTTTCAGTTTGTGGTCATACTTTACCTACGACCACAAATGCAAGTGTCTTTTCACACCGCTTTAAATGCCTGTTTGAATTTCAAGACTTGGTTTCAGGGTTGAAGTTAGAGTTAGGTTAGGTTTAGGTTAGGCTGCCATGTTTGAATTGGGTGGAATGTACGGATGATGAGATGAGTGAAGAAGGGATGGACACAGAGAGACTTCTCAAATTACATTTTGATGTAACATTCTTATTCTTGTTATAGCCACCCTGATTTACCCTTTTTTCTTTTTGTAAATCCTTTGAAATTTTGTAAGCAAAACTGAATCCTGCTCTAAATGAAGGATTCCTACAAACACATAACTGCACTGACATGACCACACTACTCTGGCTGACTTGAAGACAGTTATAAAAAACAGAGCAGCGTACCTTCCAGGTGTCCATCATTTCCACGTTTTCCTTGGTAGCCTGTTGAGCTTTCTGTTTCATCTCATTGATCTCCACGTTCTGTTTCTCCACGACAGCCTTCAATGAGTCGATCTCCTGCTGGCTTGCTGCTAAGGCAGTCTCGTACTTCTCTCTGAGCTCGCTGCTCTCCTTGTAGTGCTCCCGGCCCGCTGACAGCAGCTGCTCGCGCAGCAGGAGGGTCTCTGGCTGGGCGTCGGACCCCTGGGCCGCATCAACACGGTCAACTTTCTGCCAGCTTGCATCAGCCCCTTTGAGCTGGACCTGGAGATTCGTGATCTCGGCTCTCCTGAGGCTGAGCTCCTCCTCCAACTGCATGATGCGGCTCTTCTCTTCAACTGTAGTTTGCTGATGAGAAAGAAAGCAAGAACCCAGCACTGCTTTTGAAAGTTTTTTTTTTCTAAGGAGAAACATGTTCTTTCTATAAAGTAATTGTATTTACTACAACAGGTGGAAGACCCTGCAACAGACTGTCATTCCAAAGAAACAAAGGTGACGTGACGAAGAGCGGAAATCAGCCCATAAGAAAAAGAAAACAGAGAAATCTATGCAGGTCCTGGAGATGACCAAGTGCATTGCAGAGGATTTACAGTACAAACATGTGACATAAAGTATGTGGACAGCAACAGATTGTTCAACAGTTTGGCTCCCAGTGAAGATGCTACAATGACTCTCAGAGTATTTTTTTTCTCATTGGTATTTTTGGAAAAGTTATAACACATAACTGCAAACAAAGTTTGGATGTGTGCATACAGGGTGTAATTTGTTGGGATTTACTGCTGCTAAAACGTGCAGCCAGCGAGGATGATGTCCTAACTAATTTGCCATTAAATGAAAAACCATATCTGATTTCAATCTGGCCTATTTCGCTTTCAGTCTCAACTCTTTGGATAGCGCTGGACCACGTCCAGTGCGGATGCAAATATTAAAATGCTCTGCTCTAACCACTCAGACCGGTGCACATGCTGTATGTGAAAACGTGTCAAATCAGCTGCCCATCAACTTGAATTTAATTTTGTGGAAGAGGCGAAGCAGATTTAGAGATTAGGACGGATGATGCACGAATTTTGCATTGGTGTGGGCTGCGTGCAAGAAGACAATGCATGAGGTGCGCCTCCCTTCAGGTCGTTTATGCTGAACGTTCTCCCTCAGACACGTCGGGAAGTTATAGTAAAACCCTGCAACAAAATCAAAAGAACAAACACGTCCCGGTCACGTTCCCAACCAGATGTGATGCTTTCAGGCTTGGATACTGCAGAGTGTTCAGCTGAAAACTGCTGCTGGTTGGACCAGGCTGATCTGTGTAAGAGGTTGAGGTCCATGGTTAAACTGTACATGTGTAAATCCAGGTGACGAGAACGTGACACTAAAAACTCCAGCTGTGCCTAAACCTTGAAGGGGTGATGGGCCAAATTTAAATCCGGTATGACCTTCGATTTTTATTTATTTCGTTATTTTTTTATTTTATTTTTCCAGCTTAGGCCCAGAAGTTTATCACCCCACCTCTTTACTTCCTAAGAATTCTGTACCAAGCTACCCGGCACCACCTGGTAGACTTATGCAACTAACTGGTGAACACAGGAGAACATTTAGTGTCTAATCCTAAAATAAAAACTACTTTCAGCTGCTCCCTTGTCACATGGAGTCACCACAGCAGGTAGCAGCTGTTGTTTAGTTTGGCAGAGTTTACGCGGGACGCCCCTCCTGACCAAACGGCGATTTTTGTGTCTGGTGTCTGGAATGGAACCAGTGACCTTTTACTTGTTTACTTTTTAAAACCTTAAGGTTTTAGTTGCATCACTTAATATTTAGGAAGATATCCTTGATTTTTAGAGGGTTAGGTTTTTTTTGGGTTTTTTTTTTTATTATATACTTCCACTTGCCTCACTGAAAAGTATCTATCGGTTCAACCACTTTTTTGTGGCAAACATTTTCAGGAGTTGGTGAAAACAAAAATTAAGTCCAAAACAGAGCAAATATCGGCAAGACTTATAAATAAGCCAACTGAGGGCTATTCCTTTCATTTAACTTCTTAAAGAACTCTGACGAAGCTTCATGTTCTTATTTGGGTGCAGATAGCTTCACAGAGCTGCCTGGAGCAGCACAGTCGCTCGGGGCTAAAATGACATTTTGTCAGAAATAACACGAAGCCAACATACAGCAGAGGAAAAACACATTACACAAAGACAGAACAGAAGTTAACTCCCTATCCTGCTGAGGGCATTTGAGATTTTCACTCTTACAACATAAATATGAGTGATGCAACACCCACAAGTTCCTCACGATTCCCATTAATATTAAGATGTCTGGTAACTTTAATGATGATGAATATCAATGCAGGAAACTGTGGAACGTGGACATAAAATCTTGATGTATGAAAATACTGCTGGGAACTTTGTGTTAATATATTTATTTAGTGTAATTAATATAGGTGAAATATCTTTAATAAATTAGGCTGGGGCATTAGCGAGCGTTGCTTATTAATGAATCTGCCAATAGTCGCTCTGTTTTTAATCATTTTTCTGTCTCCGACCAACTCCGTCAGGAAAGACTGGGCTTTTTAAAAGTGCTGAACACAGTTTGCCATCAGTAGCTGACACACCCGTCTACTTATCAGAACTTACTTCTCTAATAATAGCTGCCTTGCTCTGCTTGAGGCCGAAAAACCAAAAATAATGACCAAGGAGACTCTGAAATGCCGAGCATAGAGGACAGACAGCTGGGTAATAATTCTGTGTGGGTTATGCAACCACTTGCAAGGTCATTGAATCTGTTGTTTATATTAAAATATTGACTAAGAGAGCTTTAAGTCTTCTACAGATGGCGGATGGATTTTGCCATCCCTTTTTTCCCCTTTCCCTGGCTGTTCACAACTGCAGTCACTCGTAATTTTAGAGGAACACCATCAAAACACTGGCACCGGTCAGGGTTTGCCTTTCACTCGGGATCAAAGTCCAAATAAACCATCAGAATTATTACGCTGCCCTCATAATAACGCGGAAAGCCTGCACTTAAATGCTAAAGCCATTGTATCATTTCCATCCAAAATAATTAAAGCGAGGAGCCAAAAGGATCAACTTGTCGCTGTCCAAACATTTGTGGAGCTCAGTGTGCAAAAACCAAAGGTGGAAAATGAAAGGAGAGCGCAGCCATTCTCTGATCTTCTAGAAGCAGCCAAGCAAATATAATACAGCAAACCTCAACAGTGACATATGCACAGCTGCAAACATCCTCCACACATTTGTTTCCAATCAGAATGAAAAAGAAAAACAGCCAAAAAAAACCAAACTGAGATTAAGATTAAGGACCTGCTGCACAGTGCACAGATGTTAATTTCAACCCAGATCCCAGCTGACCAGACCAGAGTTACTAGCTGATTCACACCAGAGACGCTGCCTGAGTAGCATTCAGATGACGTCGCACGCACACACACGCACGCACGCACACAGAGGAGTAAAAGAGTCTATGCAAGGTTAATGTCCTCAACAGCATCTGAAGTCGATTTGAAGTCAGGAACTGAGATAGCTCAAGAGAGGATCAAAGCCAAAACAAGATCAAATCTTTTTTTTCTTTTTTTTTCACCTTGGTTCTCTTACCCAACCTCAAGGATACCGCTTCATGAGTGCATCTTCCCTGTTGGCAGAAGCAGACCTTACTGCATATACGAATCCAAGCATTTCAAAGTGTTTTGTTATCTTTTGATGGCTGAAAATTGAAAGCTTGCGCGGTTTGATTTGTGATACCGCGGTCTATTATTAAAGAGCCTGTCTACGTGGAGCGCAGCGCTGCATGTCAAAGTGGTGTAAAGGACGTCCTTCACGGCGCCGACTAAAATGGGCGGCACCGCCTATGATTTGTCTTGAAAAATTTATCGAAGCGTCCGTAATGGATCCCGTAAATAATTTAGCGACTTCTCGTGTGTTACTAATTACATAACTGCTCAAAAATTGGTGTGGCGCCTGGGGAGATTCATCCTCCACAGCTTAAGTGGAAGGGGGCCGTTTCGAGTGATACGTCCCAATGTCTCAAAGTGCAGCAGGCGACAGAAGTGAAAGCCAGCTTTGGATTTAAAGGGGGGGAAAAAACACCATTTAAATAAAAATTAATGGCAGCTAATTGCAACATTAGACAAAAGAAAAGCTGAAGCAGCTGCGAGCCTCGGTTTTCTGATTACAAGCGATGGAATGAAGCAGAGGAAGGCCCAGATAAAGCCAGTCTGGTTAATGATCATGTGTAATGTGAAGAGCTGTGACCAACACCCACTATCATTTTAAGTAAATAACAAACTTCATATTTCCACTACTTTCCCATCTATTTCTAAATATTAAAGCTGGTAATATTCCATAGATACATTGTTGATTATAAACAAATCCATGAAAAGACCAAAACCAGATCTACTAAGACCTTATTTATCCTGGGTTTGAGTTAGGTGGGAGCTGATATAACAGCCATGACTGACATAAACTGTGCTTTTTTTCAGTTTGATTCACATTAAAAGGCTTAAAAAATACGTATGTTGCATGCATGTACTATTCGCATTAAGAGAATGCAAACTAGAGACTACAGAAAACGTCTGAAAAGTGAAGCCATTCTCCCCGCTTGCTCTGGTTGTTAAAAGAAGCCCAGATGTATAGATGTCTATGGGGAAAATGTCTCTACTTCTCACTTAAACTCATCACAAAAGTGTTTACTGAGGTCAGAGGTCAAGGTCTCAGGTGAGAGCTTTGTACAACACAGACCTTATTACAGTTGCAAAAGGAAGGAATCCATTGTGATTTATTATTGCAATTTATCACCATATGATCGTGCAATGACCCCCTCGATCATTACGTGCAGTTTCACTGATCAGGCTAGCAAGCTGAGCCATCAATGAAGCAAAACTGTGTATGCACAGTTTAAGTACAGGGAGAAAAGTCAAAGTTACCAGACTCTTTAAAGAGGTTTTTACTGGATTTGACCGCTTATTAAATAGATCCCACTGAAAATTAAAGTGCTTAAAGCCATTAAAGAAGGCTTCATGCCCACATGACAACAAGTGGGCTGCAATGGGAAAGGTTTGGACCATGTTACTGCAAAGAGGCCCTGCTTTGCATTGTTATTTATATTTTTATAAATAAATTTTTATGTTAACCCCTAAAGCTAGTTCTTTTCCAGATTCTAACAGTACTTAGTTTGAGTTTACAAAGATAGTTAAGTATGTTAACTTTTTTTAAATGAGTCAAGCCATCAGTGGAACCAAAAGTTTGGGCCTGTTTGTCTCTCTTCTGCTTGTTGGTTTTGGTCTTTTTTTAATGGTATTTGGACTAAACATCAGCCTAATCCATTAAACAACAACACTTCACTCAGCTCGCTACACTCATTACAAGTCTCAACCACAGAGTTATGAGTCATTTCAAATTATTCTGGTGAGGTTATCCTCATATTTTATTCTGTGACTGTTGTGGAGTTCACACCTGTACCTGTTAGCAAGCGTCTGCATGCTGGGGGCCTATCCTCCTGCCCATAATACTTGTAGTGTAGTCACATGGGGCCGGTATGCTGACACGTACTGACTGTAAGTATGTTTTGCATATATCTAAACTACATTTGGACACAGCCACAGGTGGGATATGTGAGTTATCATCAACAGAGAAGCAAACAGGTGCAGAAGCGCACGGGACAGTGGCCACAGGCAAAGGTTTGCTTGTGTATTTTTGTTTTTTACCCTCCGCTTCTCTAATTCTTTGTGGAGCGTCTCTGCTCTCGACTTTTCGAGGAGCAGGCTCTGCTCAAGCTGACGAATATGGGCATGTTCCAATTTCGTCTGAGTCTACGGGAAGAGACAAAGAGAGATACAAAGAAGAAAGAAAAGGGAGGCTGAAAGGAAAAAGAGACCCATACAGATCAAAGAAGGTGATCAAAACGGCTGACAGCTGATGATGAAAGGGCAGCTCTGCAGACGGCAGCAGGGTGCACAAGCTGAGGAGGAGATCTGAGGTTACGTTTCACTTTCACAGAAAGTGCAATTTGCAGTTAAGGACAACTTTGTGGTCACAGGTACATGACCAGAGAACACAAGAGTTGCACCTGCAGATGGCTCACAGACACGTCAGTCTGAGCTGCTTAATGCATGACGTGCATTAAGCAGCGCAGACTGTGCAAACCATGAAAAAGCATTAAAACACATGGTTTGATTGCATTCATATACACTGTTTTATGTCTAATACAGTAAATAAACATGATCGGCATTAAGAGTCACATTTATGACTGTTAAACATCAGATTTCTTATTCAAGGCTGAAATTTCATCCTATTGTTGTCAACAAATCTTTTGAAAGAATGAAAGGCAAATATATTAAAGAACAAGTACTTTATCTAAAGAGTGGGGAAAAAAATACAACTTATCCCTGTGGGTTCCTCATCCTTTAACCAATCGGTACAATGGTATTCACAGTTTCCTTTTCCCTGTTACAGGAGATAACGTCTTAATTGCACTTTGAGCATGTCTAAGTCTATTAATGGTGACTGGCAAATAAACATGGCTTCCACTCACTGTGGAAACAATATGGTATTTTATAAATGTGACAACAAAGACCCACATAATTTTTGAAATGTGATCTGCATTTTTTTTTAAGAGATAAAATTGTTTGGAATAAAACTTTCAGTCATGAAGTGAACAAATATGTTCACCTTTTTGAGCCTGTTGTTGTTGTTATTATTATTATTATTATTATTATCATCATCATCATCATCTCTGTGAAGGTTCTCAGTCATCCAGGTCATCGTAGTCAAAGGAGCTTGCAAAGAAAAGCGTCTGGACTTCTTTAAGTTGCTTGAAGACGTTTCACCTCTCATCCGAGAAGCTTCTTCAGGAATTCGCATGATAAGGTGGGGCCAGGTTTCACAATGAACACACCCGAAACTCTGGCTGATTGGGACCCACGCCCAGTTTCCCACCTTACCTCAGGCGATTAGAGGATCATCAGGGGGTCCTTTTGTCCCTCTGTGGGGGGTTACTCCCACTAGGTTTATATCTGGGACTCTCCACCATTTGACCTTAGAACTGAAGAAGCTTCTCGGATGAGAGGTGAAACGTCTTCAAGCAACTTAAAGAAGTCCAGACGCTTTTCTTTGCAAGCTCCTTTGACCATCATCATCATCCAACTACATATTTTTATTCTTGAACTCTATTAAATCATTTTGTACATAACTTTCCCTTATCTTATTCTGCACCTTGGTTCAGCCTCTAAGTTTGTTTTCTGCCTGAATCAAGCTGTTTTAGCTTCTCCTTACTTTAAGCCAGCTGTCCTCTGATTGGCTGTGCCTCACAAACAAAAGGTTTGGACAGCAGCTGTGCTCAAAACAGCGGATATTAAGAATATCTGCTGTCTATGACACTATGCAGATACATGTGGAGGGAAAAAAGCTGTCTGAAGTCTGAGCTTTGGATTCGTGTGGAGTTGTCACACACACGCTAATCAAGTATCAAAGAATTTGACTAAAAATAACTCCTGTTTTACACAAAGCTTGTGTGTCTCGTGTTTTATATCAGTTTTAAAATATTGTCTTTCTGTGCTATCACCACTCATGAGACATCAGCTGAGGACATCCCGAACGCACACCCTGTTAAACTAGAAACCCAGTCCGACCTCACTGTATTTATATAGCCGCGTATGTGGAATTCAGGAACTCTGCACATTATCACATCAAAGTTTCTTTTGTGCACCCAGACGCTTTTTTCTTCCCTTTCCTCTTCCTTTCTGTCCCGATGTCCAGGATGTGCGTTACGCTGACAGAGCTTTCAGGGTTGCAAAGCATGAAAACAGAATCTCCTGTGACTAACACGGACCTGTGATATTACGGTGATTCACATTGTGAGGCACATACGCTTTTTTCATTCAGCTATTAATTCTGATAAATACCTCCAGGTCTCCTTTGGTGATGGATTCCTCTTCTACTCTGAACTGCAGGTCCTCCACTTTCCTGTAAAAGCGTTATGGGAAATAAAGAAGGGGCGATTAGCTGAGCAGTATTCAAGTCTCACACAGTGTCCAGGGAGCGACCGGCACTGCAGACAATCACAGCAGTTTGCAGAAGTCACAATTTTTGTCATATTGGTTGAGACACACCAGACAGATTCGTCTCCCAGGAAAAGTTCAAACATTCTAAGCAATTTGTTTTTATTTTTAATTAAAAGGAAGCTAAGATTAGCCTGCATTTACCTGCTTTTTGTCCTCTGTACACGTCACATGCATGTAAGCATAATATCTGACTTTAGGAGCAGAAACTGTTTCTGCTTGGTAACCTCGGGAAGCTAAGTCATTTCCTGAGCTTTGAGATATGGATCAAAACCCTAAACGTTGTGTCTCCGTGACAACGAGGAGTCCCACTTGGGGCTGATGAGGGCGACTAATTCACGAGTACGATAAAAACACATCAGGAAGCTTTGGGACAGTGTCGCCTCTATCCGAAGGAATCAAGAATAGATATTTTGATCACCAAAAAGTGAATTTGAAAACTAAAATTAAATGCGAAAGAAATATTTTACTAGGCGTGTGGAGCTTTCTCCATATTGGACACTAAACTCAGTGTTGGAATTTCATAATCCACTTCCACTTAAGGTTTTTTTAACATGCTGTTTGGAGGGAGAGTGCGCAGGGAGAGGGTTTTGTGGCCAGGATATCTACTCCTGCTTCTAGGCTTAATGCTAAGCTAAGCAACTCAATCATCTCACAATATTTATAAAAATGAAAGCAAATCCCAGATTATTAGCTAAAAGAGCATCATGTGAGATCACTCTATAACACTTACCAATAATTAAGATTTCAACTATGTGGCAACACTGTTGTGTGAAAGTGAGCCCATGATGTCGTGGCAGATGGCCCCGCCCCTCCCTGAGCCTGGTTCTGCTGGAGGTTTCTTCCTGTTAAAAGGGAGTTTTTCCTTCCCACTGTCGCCAAAGTGCTGCTCATAGGGGGTCATATGATTGTTGGGATTTTCTCTGTATGTATTATTGTAGCGTCGACCTTACAATATAAAGCGCCTTGGGGCGACTGTTGTTGTGATACGGCGCTATATAAATAAAACTGAATTGAATGATGTGTGAGCGATTACCTTTTTTCTTCTTCGAGCTGATTGGCCAGTTCCAGCTTATCCTTCTGCGTGCTGGCCAGCATGGCTTTGACTTGCTGGAGACCATTCTCGTTCTCTGTCACATACTGCAAACAGGAGACACAAATTTAATTTTTTCACACCCACAAAGGTTTTTCCTTTCCCACCCGTTCTCCCTCTCAAGTCGTCACATACAGACGCTCAGTCAGGACACGCAGGCGTCACGTTGTAAAAGCCCCTTTGGCGTTATTTTTCACAGTGTGGGCAGCGCAAAGCGAGATGATGCGGGGTCGGTTTTTGTGACCATTACTGTGTGCTTAATTGTGGTCAGAGAAGCTGGCTGTAAATGGGCAACTGCCTTTAAAAGTGTGTGAAATGGTGATTTTTTAAACCCAAACTGTGCTTTTGTTTCCCATGAAATCAACCAGACAGCAACATTAACATAAATACATTTTAAGTAAAATTCAAGTATAACCACCCCACCTGCCCCTTCTGACACAGACTATTGTAGGTTTTTGTTCTATCTCCAGTTGTAAAATAGCTATATAACTACATTCCTTGTATTAAAATGGTTATAGTCTCTTTAGTTTTCATTGTGTTGTGCAGTTTTTTTTTCACATTTCTGCCTAATTTTCTGAATCCATGCCTCATAGTTTTACTTCCTGTCTTTATCTTCTGTTCTGCTCCTTGTACCCCTCAGTCAGCCCTAAACCTCAGTGTGCCATGATGAAGGCCTAAAATCCTAGAATGCATCTGGATACGAAAGCTGTGAGAATAGAGGAAGAAATATTTGTCTCTGCAAATAAGTGTTTATCAACTGATTAAAAGCATTTATGTGATTGTTAGTGTTCAGTTATTTAAAATTACTAACTGCAGGAGTTTGTGTATCTTGTCTCGCTGTGCTAGGCTGTGAATTTAATTAAAGCTAGCCTTAAATATAATGACCACTAAACTGGCTCAGGTAACATCTGCGATCACACGTCGAACATGAACCTGAACATTTACCGTTACTTTTACATTTGCCAGTGTCCTGTATTCGGGCCTCTCTTTTCTAAGACATGACGTTGTGCCTGACCAAGTAAGTGTCGAGCTGTGTTTTCCCTACTTCCTCGTACCTGCATGTGCTGAGCCTTGAGGGCGCTCAGCTCTTTCTCCACCTCGCAGATGTGGCTCGTGGCCTTGGCCATCTCCGCCCGCTCCAAGTCCCTCTCGGCCAACAGCTGCTCGATGTGCTGCTGCTTCTCCTTCAGGGCTTCCTGCAGCGCGGTGGTGCCCGAGATCTTCCGTGCGTAGCGCGATGATGTCTCCGTCAGCTTTAAAGGCGGGGAGGAGGGGGACAAAGGAGATAAGACTTTAAGAAGAGGAGGAAAGTGTGAACAGAAAGGAAATGCAGATTGGGCTTGATGCATTCAGAAACATCGTTTATCCTGTTAGCCGCACAGGTCCCTCTCAGATCCAACAGAATCCAACATCTCGATGCTTCTGACATCAGACTTTCATCGTTTTCATCGTCTGCTTTGTGATCACAGGAAATCAGCTGTCTGTGACATGACAGGTCTCTGCTTTTTCATAATAAGTCATATTAAAAAACAATAGCAAACTTTAAACTTATTTTCTAAATTGTTAGCTACATACGGCTTTAAAAAATATACATGTTCTTCTTCTCTGAGGAAATATCTGGCTGGTTGGGAATATCTGCAACAGGGAGACCAAAAACAACCATTTAATCACAGTGAATGCTGCAGTATTCTCTTTGGCCACTAGAGGATGCTCTTTGACAGGATTTCTACCAGCCCTCTATACCTCGTCTCATTTCAGCAGCATTTATGGAACTTTCTTTAATAACAAGCTAGATTGAAGCATTCTGCACATAAAACATTACATCTGCACTTTTATGTGTAGATATTTCATATAAAATGTGTCAGTCATGCTCAATTTAATGTCATATGCCTGTGTATTTGACAACCTGTAAGGTAACAAATTCCTGCTTTTATGATGGCAACACTATTATGTAGCACATAGACTCACAGTAAGCGTCATACGTTCACAGTGAATCAGAGATCCTTGTGCAAATTTGTGCCCATAATTCACCATCCAAATTAAAAACGGCGCCTGCTTTCTAACCACTTAAGAAAATTAAAACTGTGCAGGACGAAGCATCTTCAGGAAAGACAATTTTGTGCTGTGCCATTAGACTGATAATTCACAAAGGTTGCATTAAGTGCTGCCAACAATTAAGGAAAGTAAAGGGTAGTGTTCTCCATCAGGACCTGGCCCGTACCCAGATGCTAAAATCGATGCGAGATACCCTGATGTCCCATTATTTCAGTCAGTTGCCAGCTGTTGGTGAGGATATTAGTCTTAAAGACGCAGTGCAAGAAACAAGATGTCTGACTTCACTTCATCATCCTCCTGTTTGAATCTGCGGCCACGATATTTCATTAGATTTAAAGACTTTCAGACATTGTAATGTAACTAATAAACAGATGTTCCTAATCTTAATAATCATTCCTGTGAATTATTGGGGGGGGG